AAAAAAAAAAAAAAAAAAAAGCAATGGATGAGTCAGTAGATATTTCTTGGCACTTAATATGTGTGCCAGGGAAAGCCTGTCCTAGGCTTAGCTACATCCCCTGAGACCAGTCCAACAAACGCTGTTGTCTCCAAACATCACTACCCTAGTGTCTGATTGCCACTTCCGTGTTAATCATGGTGAAAACAAAGCCTTCTGTGCTTGCTTCAGTAATCCTCTACACCTTCCGCCAGTGTCATATCCTCTCCTGTGCAAGCGTCTGCAGCTGTTACCAATCCTACCATGCAGCCCACACACATACACTCACACTCACAGCCACAGGATAAGGTCCAGACTCTTTAACTTCTCCCACCCAAGTTAGCCCCGGCCTACCTCAGGCCTAATTCTAAGGTCTATGCTTTCGTTCACAGACCTAGCTCAGGTGCTTAGTAAAGGCTGTGGAGTGAACGCAAGGGTAGCTCATTTCCTCCTCTCTTCAAGGTCAGGGGTGTGTGTGCAGATTCAGGGCAGAAGGCAGGGAGTGCAGTGGCCAGTGGGAAATGGCTTGATGTGGGAGACAGATGGGCCTGGTCCACTGCCACCTGCACCAGCACCTGGCTGAGGAACCATGAGCAAGTCCTGGAACCACTGAGTCTTCGTTTTCTCACCCCTCGCAGGGCTGTAGGGAGGGTTCTCTGATGTTCCTGGTGAATGTAGTGATGCTCCTAGTGAGCCCTGAGTAGACAGTAATCATTAAGGAAGACGCTGGCTAACTGATGCATCTCTAAGCAGCTGCTACACTGCTCGCCTGGTACGGCAACAGGCAGTTGGTGCGCTTTGCTCACTGGGTATCACTCGGAGGTGACCTTTATTTGTGAAATATGCTGTTTTTTTTTTAACAGCATCCTCCTCCTGATCGCCCTCAGGAGACTTAAGCCTCACACCTGCATGCCCCCACCTTCCACACTACACCCCCACCTTCCACACCTACACCCCCCACCTTCCACACCTACACCCCCACCTTCCACATCTACACCCCCACCTTCCACACCTACACCCCCACCTTCCTCATCTACACCCCCACCTCCCACACCTACACCCTCCACCTTCCACCTACACCCCCCATCTTCCTCACCTACACCCCCACCTCCCACACCTATACCCTCCACCTTCCACACCTATACCCACCTTCCTCACCTACACCCCAACCTTCCACACCTACACCCCCACCTTCCACACCTATACCTCCACCTTCCACACCTACACCCCCACCTTCCACACCTATATGCCTCCATCTTGCACACCTACACCCCCAACTTCCACACCTACACCCCCCACCTTCCACACCTACACCCCCACCTCCCACACATACACCCTCCACCTTCCACACCTACATCCCCACCTTCCACACCTAGACCCTCCACCTTCCACACCTATACTCCCACCTTCCACACCTAGAACCCCCCACCATCCACACCTAGACCCCCCACTTTCCACACTTAGACCCTCCACCTTTTACACCTACACCCCCACCTTCCACACCTACACCCCCACCTTCCACACCTATACCCCCACCTTCCATACCTATACCCCCCACCTCCACAACTACAACCCCCCACTTTCCACACCTGTCAGAATCTTCCTCCAGCGGGAATTCCGAGGTTTTTCCACTCTGAATTCTTCTTTCCCTTTCTTTCAAAACACTCTGAATGTATTCCAATTATTTGGGGGCTCCCAGAGGGTATTTTTGTTTCCTTCTACAATGCCTAGCAAAGTGCCTTGCCTAGAGCAGTTGTTTAGTATGTAGTTTTTGCATAGAGTGGAGCTCTGTGTGGAAATGTGGCTCTGAAATGACACATCAGCCCACCCATAAGGTCCATCTCAGAAAGACCTGGAAAAGTTCCCATCTCCCCTGGACCTCCACTCCTCCATGTTCATCTGGGCAAGTGGAGTAAGATTATTACATCCCCTTCCTCAGTGTGCAAATGAGTGGGTTAAAACAAACAAATATATCTCCTTCCCAGGGACAGGAGTCCCCTGCAATCCTAGCTTACATTCTCCCCGAGTAGACAGTGAGATGGGCACGGACCATGTGATTAAATTGCAATTTTAAAAAAATAAAGGTCTTGGTTGGGCGTGGAGGCACAGTAGTCCCAGCCACTTGGGAGGCTGAGGCAGGAGGACCACTTTAGCCCAGGAGTTGGAGGTTGCAGTGAGCTATGATGACGCCACTGCACTCTAGCTGGGCAACAGAATGAGACTCTGTCTCAAAAAAAAAAAAAAGTAGAAGAAGCAAAAGTAAAATCTTACAGATGAGGGAGCTTGCAATGCACAGTAGCCTGTCCATTTAATTTGCATATTTGACTTGATGTATTCTTTGGTAAATAGTTATGGAATGCCAGTATAAAGCTGGCAGCTTTTTTTTTTTTTTTGAGACAGGGTCTGTTGCCTGGACTAGAGTACAGTGGAGTCATCATAGCTCACAGCAACCTCAAACCCCTGGGCTCAAGTGATCCTCCTGCCTCAGCCTCCCAAGTAGCTGGGAATATAGGTGTGTGCCACCATACCCTGCTAATTTTTAAATTTTTTTTGTAGAGACAGGATCTCACTATATTGCTCAGGCTGGTCTTAAACTCCTGGACTCAAGCAATCCTCCTGCCTCAGTCTCTCAAAGTGCTGGGATTACAGGCATGAGCCACCATGCTCAGCCTCAGCAGCTTATAAAGCTGATACAGGCTTGTATAGCTTATACAGCACCTTTCCGAGGAACTCAGTCCAGGAAAGGAGACAGGCATTTCACCTTCTTTAGTGCTGCCTACATCACTGCCTTTGTTACATAAACCCCTCAGACTTAGAGGACAGGAGCCACATCTGTTACCATGTCCTTTACAGCTCTTAGCAGGTAGAGCTGTAATAAATGCACTTTATGGAAATAGAAAAACCAGGAATAGAACAAGCCATAGATGAGAAATGGAACAGAACAAGGCATAGATGAAAAATGGCTCCTCCTGCCCATTTCCAGAGCACAGGGAATCAGAGAGCCCCAGATTAGTGTTCTTCACTTAAGAAAAGGACTTCAGTTAGGATACTTCATTCCATTTCAATTTAAGGCCTTTATTGAGAACCTTCCACATGCTTAGCCTAAGAACAGTGGAGAAAGGGAAGCAGGGTGGCTAAGGAGAATTAAGATAAGGACCCTTCCTTTGAGTGTGCAGCTAACTGGGATATGAGGGACATTCCAGTGAGATGCAGAGGAAAAGTCCAGGGTGAGGTTGGGGAGAAGGCACAGTAGGCAGGTCTGCGGGGTGGCTGGGGGACGAAACAGTAGGTAGGGAGCATCTGAGCAGAGATGAAGGCTAGGTGAAGAGTGCAGCAGGTGGGAGAGCTTTTATTTGCTGTGGTGACGGTGACACGGTGGACCTCAGAGATGACAGGTGGCTGGGTGCAAGGAGGTCTGGTGAGCCATGGTGGTAGAAGGGGTAGAGGTCGGAAAGCAGTGAGGACAAAAATAAGCAGCCTGGCCGGGCACAGTGGCTCACGCCTGTAATCCCAGTACTTTGGGAGGACGAGGCAAGAGGATCAATTGAGTCCAGGAGCTCTAGACCAGCCTGAGCAACATAGCAAGACCCCGTCTCTACAAAAAAAATTTTTAAATTAGCCAGGTGTGGTAGCGATGTGCCTGTAGTCCCAGCTACTCGGGAGGCTGAGGCAAGAGGATCACTTGAGCCCAGGAGTTTGAGGTTGTAGTGAGCTATGATGCCACTGCACTCTGGCCTGGGCAACAGAGCAAGGTCCTGTCTCAAAAAAAACAAAAAAAGAAGCAGCCTGCATGTTCCATCTTGAAGGAGATCTTTCCAGATCCCTTTATCTCAGGATGTCAGAGAGTCCTATTTGCCACATTCTTTCCTTTTGTCCCCTTTGCTAGGAAGGCCCTGATCAGTGTGTCTTCCTGTGCTTCCCTTAGGTTTGGGTTTGTACAAGATAAATATTCTGCCTCTGCCTTTAACTTCCCTGCTGAGAACAAGCCTCAGTACATCCACGTTACAGGTGAGGAGCTGGGCAGGTGGGCCCCTGTGGTGGGAGTGGGAGCCCTGAGGGCCCTGGCCCTGTTCACGGAGGTCCCTTCCCTTGCACTGAGCTTGTGGCCACAGAACCACCTCAGCTGGCTCCAGGTGCCCCTCTAGTGGCTGTGACACAGGTGTTCTCCTTTCTCTTCAGGAACAGTGTTTCTGCAGCTGCCCTACTCCAAGCGCAAGTTCTCAGGGCAGCAACGGCGACGGCGGAACTCCACCAGCTCCACCAACCAGAACATGTTCTGCGAGGAGCGGGTGGGCTATAACTGGGCCTACAACACTATGCTGACCAAGACGTGGCGCTCCAGTGCCACGGGGGATGAGAAGTTTGCCGATCGGCTGCTGAAGGACTTCACAGACTTCTGCGTCAACCGTGACAACCGGCTGGTCACGTTCTGGACAAGTTGCCTGGAGAAGATGCACGCCAGCGCCCCATGAGCCCAGACTGCGGCGGGGTTAGAAGGCTGTGCCCACGCAAGGGGCAGCGGAGCAAGCTGCTACCCTCAAACCCGGGGCGGAAGATTCCAGTCAGTCTCTAGGCATCAGGTGTCCATTGGTGAGTGGGGGCCATTGCTCCTTTTTGGCCTCCCAACAAGCATTGTTCCACTGGAGGAGAAAGACTTTGGAAGCAGCTGCTGCTGCTGTCACCACCCAAATCCCGTCAGCAAGCGCCCAGAGGAGGTGGGAGGCACAGATTGTCCGTAGGAGGGCTTCAGTGTCTGGCAAGGGGGGCAGGCGGCCCCCACAAATGTCCTCAGAAGGGGGTGGCTCCTGTTAGCATCCTTTTCCTTCACCATCCGTGGGATATTAGGAGCAGAATCTGATGCTTTCTGCCCAGGAGTGTGCCAGGGTGTAAGATAATCTTATGAAATAATGTACCATAGACTTCGCACCAACTGTACATACCTGTACATACCAGAAGCAAATAAAGCTCCACATGCAGCATCTCTGTCCCCAGCCCAGTTGCCAGCAGCAGCGTTCCCATCCTGGGCTGGGCAGCCGTGCCTGGTGGTCAGGGCCATGGTGGTCAATGGGGTAGCCACAGACAGTGACAGGGCTTCAGAATTCACTGGCTTGGAGAGTCTGGCTGTGGATTTACTGAGCGATTTCTTTTCACAGGCTCTTGGGCCAGCAAGGATAGTTTGGGTCAGGACTAGTAAGCAGGCAGTACGACGTACAAGGTAACTAGGCTCATGCTGTCAGAGTGAATCTTGCTGAGTGGGTGAGCCCAGCTCTGGGACACAGACATCATGGCATTCTGAGGAAAACCAAAGGGAAGCCTGTACGGACTCTAACTTAGGTTTAGGTCCCATTGTATATTGGGATAAGACTCAGCATGTGCCTCAACCTCAGTGCCCTTCCCTAACCTGCGCAGGGGTGGGCAGGGGGCCGCAGGCCAAAGGGGAGCACCTGATAGTTACCGCCACTTGCTCCTCCTCCCTCTCCCCATGGCGTTAATCACAGCCCCGCCGAATTGCCTCCTTGGTGGTTTAGGAATCCGTCCTTCCTGGGCCCTGTGCTACCACTCAGCCCTGCCTTCCCTGTGTCTTTCTCTTAAATCTCTGGGAAAACCTCCTAATCTGTCTCTGCATTCACTCCGAGCCATTCCCTGCTTGTCAGTCAGAGTCTTTTTTAAAAACGGCTGTGATTATGCCCATTACTTCATCAGAACTCCTTGGTGACTTGAGCTTCAAAAATCTTAGATGTGGCCCACATGGCCCTGCACAATCTGGCTCTGTGGGCTGTTTCTGCAGCCACGCTGGCCGTTGTGCAGTTCCTGACTTTGCAAACTCTGTACCGACTCAGATCCTTTGCACATGCTGCTCCATCTGCCCAAAACACGCCTTCTCTCCACACGCGCCCTGGCTCCCTAAATCCTGGTGGTCGTCATCTGTCAGCTCTCAGCTCAAATGTCACTTCTCCAGAGCACCTTGTACTTCTCCAACCTGGTGCTCGACACGTTTACACTGTACCGTGGCAGAAGCATCTCCATTTTGTTCATCTTTTTGTTCCTAAGTGTGCAGCATAATAGTAGATGTTGGAGAAAGGGTTGTAACTGAATTTATAGAGTGACTGAACTCTGGACTCCAGAGCTGGCACTGGGTGTTACATCTAAATCTCCACCTCTCCAGCTGGGCTTCTTAGTTACTTAACAGAACTCTTTGGTGACTTGAACTTATTTAGAACTCTTAAAATGCTGCTATTGATGCTGCATGTAGATATTTTGAGAGAATAGATTTGTTTATATATATATATATATATATATGTGTGTGTGTGTGTGTGTGTGTGTGTGTGTGTGAAAATGTGCTGGTTGACTCCTGGCACAGAGCAGGTCTTTGATAAAAAAACATTTTCCTTTCTTTTTTCACCTGACCTTGTCTCAAACAAACCATTGCTTCTCTCTCAGTGTCAGGGCCCTCATCTATAAAATGGGATGCTATCTCCCATGGCAGCTGGAGGATCCAAGGACAGATGTATATGAAAGGACTTACTAGCAAGAAGGCAGTAAACAAATGGCTGCTCTCACTTCGCGGACAGGAGCCTTTATTGTCTCCCCAGCCAGATTCCCGAGTGATGCTGGACACAGCAGCCTGCGATCCTCAGCATCCTGTGTGTAAGGCAACAATTGCCCCTGCAGTTGTCCAGGAGAAGAAGGCCCAGAGAATGATTTGGCACAAGGGGTGGCTGAAGAGTTAGGATGCTGGGTCACTCACCTGGCAGAGCTGGACCTGAGGCTTGCCTGCCCTTGTGCCCCAGTCCCCCTGCTGCCTGCTCCCCTGCAGTCCTCCTCTCCCTGATGGGCACCTCCTTCCACCCACTTGTCCAAGCCAAACTCAGTGCCTCCCTCCTGCACCATCATCTGGTCTTCCCACCTGTCTCAGACCCACCCACCTTCCTCCATCCCTGCTTCCAGATGCAGAGCTCAGCCCACAGGGAATGTGTGCTTTGGCTAGACATGGAGGACACATGCATGCAGACCGGAACACCACCACTAGGTGTATAGATGTGAATAATCATGCCTTGGTATAGAGGCATAGTAGGTGTAAATGCAGTAAGCTTGGGGCCAAGAGGACCTGGGTTTAAATTGCAGCCCAGCTGTAAACAGAGGTGATGTGGCCTCACCTTTCTTCCCAGGCCCCCTGCCCCGCTTCTAAATGTTGCTGTTCTGCGCTGTGACACTATCTGCTGGCCCGTTTCAGCTCACTAGGCTGAGGATTTTCCTAAGGCAGGGACCAGGCCTCCGGTCTCCGTCGAGCCCTGTGCACTGTAACCTCTGGCACACGCTTCGGTCAGTGAGAGTTGAATGAATGAGTCAGTGAGATCAACGGAGCAGGTGTGTGTGGCTGGGCCCCTCACAGGGCCCAGTGCATAGAAGAGACACATGAACCGGAAGAAGGACCTTGACAGGATTACCTGATCTGCTTCCCTAAATTGAGTCATGGAAAGGACTTATTTCTGTTGAAAAATGAGGCTGTTAAGGCTCAGACATGTGCATGATATGCCTTGGGTAACCCCAGTGTGTGTGGAGATGAGGGTGGTCCAATAAGACAAGAGCCTTAACATGGAGGGGTTCTTGGAGATCTGGTCCAACCCTTTCACTTTCCCCCAGATGAGGAAACAGGCCCAGAGTGGCCTGCCCCACTCTGGGAGAAAACAAGGCAGGGACCCAGGTCCTCTGGCTCCCAGCAGAGTGCCTTTCCAGTAGCATAGTGGTTAAGAGAGCAGGCTTGGGAGGCAAGTGCCTGGATTCAGTTTCCAGCAGGGCCGTTTGCCAGCTGTGTGACCCTGAGTAAGGTACTGTACCTCTCAGAGCCTCAGTTTTCTTATCCGTAAAATGAGTGGATAATACCACCTTGTTGGGTCCTGAGGATCACGCGGGAGATCCTGGAAGGTTGTAACCCCTTCATAGATGTTAATGTCATGATGACGGTTATTAATGTAGACTCTGTGAGCCCCAAGAGTTTAGAGAAGGGAATAATCACAGGGCCAGAGTCGACAGGGTACTGTTTAAAGAGGAAGTAGCCTTGCTCCTTGTAGGATGTGTAGGGGTCAGAGTGGGCTGAAGAGCTATGGAGGAGCACTCCTCTTACTGGCTCTGTAGCTGCCATGGTCATTCTGCCTTGTCTGGGTAAGAACGTCTGCTGGGGAAAGTTTTTTCTGTTGGCAGGGGTGCCATGTTGCCAAGAGTAGAAGAAAGGTCCCCTCACCACACTGCCCTGGTGCCTGCCCATTGTGAACAGGGCTGTTGTCCAAGGCTGAGCAGCTCCTGGGAAGTTTCTCAGCTTCATGGTTGTGCCCACAGGGTGCACACAGGCCCCACTACACGTGGGGCAGGACAAGTCAGCCTCCTGGATATAGAAATGGAGTGGGGGTAGGAGGGAGCCACACAGGGATTGAGATACAGAAAAATGCAGCAGGAAAAGAAGGTAGAAGGCCAAGCACAGTAGCTCAGGGCTTGTAATCCTAGTATTCTGGGAGGCTGAGGCAGGAGGGTCGCTTGAGGCCAGGAGTTCAAGACCAGCCTGAGCAAGAGCAAGACCCTGTCTCTACAAACAAATAGAAAAATTAGCCTAGCGTGGTGGCACGCGCCTGTAGTCCCAGCTACTCAGGAGGCTGAGGCAGGAGGATCGCTTGAGGCCAGGAGTTGGAGGCTGAGGCAGGAGGATCGCTTGAGGCCAGGAGTTTGAGGTTGCTGTGAGCTATGGCGATGCTACTGCACTCTAGCCCTGGCTACAGAGTGAGACTCTGTCTCACAAAAAAAAAAAAAGGAAAAAGGAAGGGAGGGAGGAAGGGAAAAAAACAAGGTAGAGTAAGACATTCCTTACCAAAGGACCTAAGAATAAGCTGAAAAAGCTTCAAAGCAGAAGTAGCTGTCTTAGTGCCCCCACCAGTGGTTCTCAAATGCTCCCATGCATTAAGAGCTCCCTTAGAACACAGATTCCAGGGCCTCCCTTGCAGAGCTGCTGAATCCTGAATCGGGAAGTCTGGGGCTCTGTACTGCAAACAGGCACTCCAAGTGATTCTGCCATCAGTGCTGCATTGGAGAAACCCAGATTCCTTCTCTAAGCTTCTTCCCATTTACACGCAGTGCGAACCAGCCCTGGAAATACGATTCTCAGACTGCAGGAGCAGCACACTGGAATACGAGATAGTAGAGGCAGAGAGCCCGGCAGCAGGGTGAAACAGCAACTGACTGATGGCAACTGGAGCCGACAGAGAACTAACAGCCTCCAAAGGCGCAGGACCGCCAAAGGCTGAGTAGCCGGGCCGGCAACTGCCAAGCACTGTGATGAATAGGCATGGAACCCATATCCAACTTGTAGGAAGAGACCCATCAAAATAATGAAAATGGAATCTTCGGGTGTTAAAAGTAAGACGTACATGACATACGTCTGAGACATTGAGCAAATCTGCGAGGCCTTGCTGAAGTGGATAGGAAATCGTAGGGGACAAAGCTGAATAGAACCCAATTTACAGGCCTCTTCAGTTGCCCAGAAAACTTCAAGTACATGGAATAACAATGATCCCTCCATTCCTTGAGTGTTTCCTGTGTGGTGGGCACTGTTGTCATATGGCCTTTCATCTCATAATCTCATCATCGTCCTGTATGAGAGGGAGAAGGCCTCAGGAGGTAGAGCCCAAGGCCACACAGCTGTCAAGCACCTGGACTGGGGATCATGTCTGCAACGTCAGAGCCCAGTCCTGCCCACTGCTGTCCCCTTCACCTCCTGGGAGTGCTGGGTCAATGAGTGCCACCTGCTGCTCCGGGCTGGAGGCCCCTCCATTCCTCTCAACTGTATTACAAGTGCAGCGCACCCCTGAGGGGGTATAGAGGCCCCATATACAGGGATTCTCGCAGGAAGTGGGCAGTGACTTTGAGCCAGGGCCAGTGGCCTTTCCTCTCCTCCAGGGTCCTATCTGGAAGGCACTGTCTGGTCCTTCCC